CTCTACTTTATATTATTTCCAACATAGAAATATATACACCTGTTATTTTGTCAGTATATTTCTTTTAAATATACAAGGTGTCAAGGAGTCCGCTTACAGTGCTGTGAATAATTATGGACTCAAAGTAAATTTTAACATTTTTACAGAGATTTAAAAAAAGAAAAGTACAAAAAAATCTGTATTCGTATATTTCTATTTTCTATTATATCTAATGTAAGAATCAAAATATACAAATATGATATTTGTGTTAAGTTGTTGTTTAAGTATCACTAAAAATATAACAGTCACTTGAATCTATAATTAGTAAGTCTAAACAGCTCGATATCACGTATAAGAGAAAGAAAGAGAAACAGAGTATCGAATACCCATCACTAGAGATAATGTTCTACAAAGCGTTTACACGAGCCATTTTACATCGCGATGACTGATAATTCGTGCACGGTGGCTTCATTGCTTAACAAATTGCGCGTATGTTATGCGATATATGATGTTATCTTCTCGGCTGGAATCAGCGCGCGAAAATAAGCGCAAGCGTTTAAGCGCGACACGTACAGACAATAACACTTCATTCATTCAACTTCATCGAGCTCGAAACTGAAACTTCTCAAGTCCCGGATGCAGAGTTCGTGTTATCAGCGCGCATTACCTGTTGGTTTCTAATAATTATGATAGACCGCAGATTTGGTGCATTTATTATAAAATAATAAAAGTAAAGAGCAAAAAATAAGAGTAAAAAAGAGTAAAAAAAAAAGAGTAAAATATTTTCGAAACCGTTGATGATGCTAAAAAATGTTTCGAACGAAATTTGAATGGTTTTAGGGGGCACGTAACCTAATATTAATAAGATTATTCTAGGTGAACGCGTTGAAGACATATGAGGGTCAACGTTATTTTTGTCAATGGAATCATATATTTTTTATTATGCTAATCGATTCGGCTCGTCATTCTCTTCATAAAATAACTAAGGCATTGATTACGAAAAATCATTGGTTTAGAAGATATTTGAATTTTAGTATCTTTTTTTAAAGACTTTACATAATGTTCAATTCGTAGATAATGAAATAGCATCGTTACGAATTATTTAAAAATAAATGTTTGCACTAATATATTCAATAGGGCCGAATCCCAGGCCGAAAAAGTCTTACAAAAGTAAAATAATTTAGTCAATGTGATCGAAACTGCGAAATAAAAATTTATCGTACTGCTTCCATTTTACGAAAATATGATACACAAACACGAATTTTTAAAAATAGACGAAGTATTGTGTCACGCATATACGACTAACATAACTGACAATGTGTTGATACCGACCAATGACAAACTATAACTTGAGGAAGGTCAAACTCGATGATTTACTATGCGAACTACATCCGGAGAATACAAATCCTTGGACAGTTTTATTGCAATTCACAACTACATTGTGGACTATTTGTGCAGAGTAAATCGGATAATACGAAGATAGACTAGGTACTAATTATGAAAACACGTGATTATAACATGTTGACACAGGTGCTAGCCATAACTTTGTGTCCACGCTTTAAAACTAGTTTTTGCTGAGACATCATTATGTAAATTAAATTTTAGTAGAATTTCCAGGAAGTAAAATAATCGACAGAGTAAAATCGCAAGACTGCAGATTTTTATGTATTTATGGAAAATTTATTATGTCTTTATTATCTGTATTATATGCAGATTTTTAAAGCGCAAAGGAAGTATAAATTAATAAGGTTTAATTGCATCATTATTTTCTTTTTACAATGAATAACCTGTTAGTTAACAGCCTTAAATAAAAGAATGTTACTCTTTTTTTCGACAGTTACACGACACCCTGTACATGCGCAAAGGGTTAATTGAGCTGTAGAATATAGAATTTATCAGAGAAAATTGTCCGATTTATCGGAAAGAGAAATCATGAAAACAAATTTGATTAAAAAATGTTACTCTTTTTTCGACTTATTTCTCGACGTAGAATCAGCCCATATATCCGGTTGTATTTTATTGTACATGACACCCTGTTTACGCTCTCACAAGTCTATCAATATGTACGAAAGGGGTAAATATACGCCTTCTACATTTTGTGAACTCCAACGCATTCGCTATTGCACCAACTTATCATTGCTTTAAACACGTTAAATGAAATTTGTTGTTCGTTTATTAATATCGGATTTCTTCCTTTATGTCACAGCCACTTATTCGCATATTTCGCTTCACTTGTATTTATGGCTCTATCCGAGAGTATGCCGCAGTCATAGGGTTAATGCATAAACTTCAGTTTCTTGGAATTGCTACATACGACGTTTTTCCTTACAGCCGCAGACACATTCTGTGTATTGACTTACAAAATGCAAAAAAGGTTGAAGGAATATTCAGTATGGTATATTTTTAATTAACGCTAGGTTTTACGAACTGAGCCAATTTAACACATTTAAATATTATAATATAAATAATAATATACATTATATGTAATATATATAATAATATATATGTATATAATATATGTATATGATACAACCATGGTACAACCAACGTGATACAACTGGCAAAGGGGTGATTCTACATGCAAAAATAAGTCGAGAAAGAGGAATAACATTTTTTTATTTAAGGTTCCGTTTTTGAGAAAAATTAGGTTGAAAAAGTAATACTGTTGAAGAGGAATCAACTGGCGCGTCTGATCATGATATACCAATTCTACTTCGCGTCATATTACAAGCCACACGAATTTGACGCATCTTTCAACTCAGTTTTCTCGAATAACTTAAAATTTAAATAAAATCTTAACTCGAATTTAAATAATCAATTAAATAATCAATTTAAATAAAAACTTAACTCACATTTAAATAATCGATTTAAATAAAAACTCGAAAACAAATATTTTCTAAACACACATGTTGATTTTTGGTTATGTAATGAAATACATGTAAATATTAATTCCTCCTCTCCGCCGACCTAAGGTTATGAGCCAATTTAACTCAAAAAATGATTTCACTGTTAATCACTTTAAACACATGAAAAAAGTTCTTATCAGTATTCTAAAAACATCTGATGCGTAAACATTCATGTTCAATCTTGTCAATTTAATAGTTAGCTGGGGCCAAAAAAGCCTTATCTACTCACCTCTTTCATCATTCCGATTTATATGTATATCGCGTGCAAACACAGCATTTTTAGCGAAATAAAATAATTTTGTAAAATCAATTTTTTACAACAAAAATTTGGTCCAGCAAGGTAATTGCAATATTTATTTGTAAAAGGTATTTCAATTGATATTTATTTTACATCTAATTACGTAGGGTTGCTATTATATGGGAAAAAATCAGAAAAATTTTCTTTCGCTGAGAAAAAACTGATAGGAATAAGGGAAGACCAATCAGATAATGAATCGGATGCAACGGACATGGAACTATGTGATAACGAAATTGAAATAGAGGAGGAAGCCAATAGAATTGAATTTCCGAGCAATGAGGATGAAGTTTTTCGTTATATAGTGTAAGAAATGTTTTCAATGAAGTTTTTTTATAGTAAATCTTTCACTTTTGTATGCAAAAAAACTTCAATTTTGTTGTATAAGTCAAATTGGCTCAATTTAGTAAAAATAGGTATATAATCAACGTCCGTATAAATCTAGTGTTAATCAAATAAATTGGCCCAATTCTGAGATCGTTGAGCAAACAATTAAGGTATTAAAGTTTGTGAATGCGACACGCTTCTCGAGTCCAATGAGGTTACATAAATGTATAATAGTAATATCTCTAACGTGTGCCACGTTTGATGACTGTGACTCACACGGATATAGTAACACGTGGTGTACATTAGCACTGTTGCTGTTCACGCTTGATATCGCGCGTACGAACACAAAGTCGAACGAATAGTATTGTATAACTGATGTCCTATGAAAAACGTTTTCTTATTTCGCGGTTGATGCTTACATTTACAGTACCATGAAACGTGAGGTTATTAATAGTTCTCTTATACGCGTTGGAAACTTGAAAATGTACGTAGTCGAGAAGAAATCGTCAATCACCATTTAAAGCAAAATAACTTTCTTATAATTTATCGGAACGAGATTCAACAAGTTTCTTTTTGGAAAGTTCAGATTCTTGTATGATCATTAACGCTATATTTACCGATCTTTTCTATATACCTAATTTTACCGAATTAATTCTAAATTCTAAATGAAACTCTAAATTCTAGTAGAATTTGAAAAGCAAATTGTGAGGAAAAGCGATTAAACTTTGAAAATAATTACGAATTAACATTTTTAAGAACCATTTTAGAACTTAAAAACGAGTATTTTAACGTCTAATAACTTTGGTGAAAGTAGAGTTAAATTAAAATTTTAAAAGGTGTATTTTCATCAATTTGGAAAAAAAGTATTACATGTAAATAAATAAGATATAAAAATATAAACACAAGATTACATCATTAGAGTAATAAGAGAAAAGATTTAATAATCGGTAAAATAAATAAGTTACCTATATGATTTATGTTATAAGAATATTCACTTCATAAGAATTAACTTTAAGAAAGTAATGTTTTAAAAAGCGATTTTAACCCTCAGTCGTTTAAAGCTCGTTCAACACTGTGTCACATTCTAAAAATAATGAATAGAAAACAATTATTTACACTCGCAAAGTCTATTTTTTTTCCTTCACCTGTTCAACATTATTGTTACTTAATAATCCGTCATAATGTGTAAATTTCATAGAAAAATTGTTTCCAAAGTTCACTAATTAAGATCATGTAGTATTGGTCACACATGACCCAGTGTTGGTCTTCTGCGTCCCGTTAAATACCAAGTTTCACTAATTAGGTTAGATTATATTATCATATCATTATAACTGTTAATATATTTATACTGACTCTTAATGTACTTTATATAGATTTTATTCAATTATACAAATTCTGTAAGGCAATTAAGACAATTTTAAAATGAAAAAAGTTAAATATTACATTATCTTTAATATTTGCAATTAAGCATTCTTAAAGTAATTTAAACTTACCTTTAGATAACTTAACAGTATTTTAACAGTATTTAAATACTAAACAGTATTTTAATTGTCAATTTAAGGTACTTAGCATGATCCGTCACTATCTTTAAATTTATGGCGCATATATCAACGAAATTATAGAACAATTAGTAGAAACAAATTAGCGAAATTTAAGTTTAGACTCTCGCCAGGTTCATTATTATCGAATCAGAATCTTTCACCGAAACCTCCTTAAAGATGAACTTTTATTACGCCCGCCTAGTCAATTTATTATTGTGTTTATAAAACATGGTACTCAATATTCTGCACGATATTAACGAGAAATATTGTTAATATGTATATTTTATCATAGCACTCTCAAAACATATATCCTATATAATCACTGTATTATATTTCCTTATCATACTACATGTACTCATGAAAATTCCTATTCCGTCAAATTAATGTATAGAATAAAACTAAGTAAGCAATTATTATCCTGTATTACTGCATTAAAAATGAGGTCAAGGGTCTACTCAGTCTTCTTTTACATTTTATTCTAACATTTTCTATACAACTACATAAATTCACGGTGCCGACGAAAACGTCTAAATATTTCAAAAAAAATTGTCACATACCCTTCACATAATTTGTTTTCTATTAGAATACACAACAATTGCTGAAGCTCTCAATTAACAAGAAAAATTGTAGGAAGGAATATTACTTGCTCATAAAATTGAGTATTCGTTCAATTCTGTTTTCCATTTTATTTGATTATTTTTTATACAGCTCCCATGTGTTATAAATACCTATACTTCTCGGAACGTAAACTAAACACCATCAACGGAAAATGATAAATATTTAGTATATTTATATAATTTTGCTTTCTACCTTTTGTTTCAACAAATAACAAAATTTTATAAGGAATACAACATGTGGTCCAGTCCGTGTGAAAATTTAATTCGCAACTAGAGACTAGAAAAAGTCATGCACCGGTATAGTTAAGAGGGAAGGGTGCTCAACCCTTCCGATTCAATATGACAATAGCGTTCCGTATGTCGCATAAAAGCGTACTATAAAAAAAACGTACGTCGTTACAACCGACGCGACGATCACCACGAAGCAATTTTACAACTCATCACAATCTTTTTGATTCACAATACAATAATTAATTGAGCTAATTAATTTAACATGAGACTGCTACCAAAGCATACACTAGTACAAGATATTCCATTTCGCTCGTGGTGGCACTTTAACGGAAAAATTGATTCTTCTGTGCAAAGAGAGAGAATGTGTAGTAGTGATGCGCAATACTTAGCGCGATGTCTACGATGTGCACGCAATAGAAGTCAGTCACCGACTGACGCACTGTCGCTTGCCATTTCGAGCAGATATATGGCAAAGTTGCAGTGGTGTGACAAAGATCGACACGGGCGATGCATATATATATATATGTGTGCTCACACAGGCAAAACTATAGCGTTTGTCACGAAACGGGTTATGTAAATAACATGAATCGATTGATATAACAAATGCATTCACGTAATAAAAGATTATGTTATCGAGTGAAGAGATTCTACGCTTTCTCGTATATTTTTTGAAACTACGTTTCACCTTAACCTTGTCACGCCATTTCCCTAATCCACACACGCGAAGGAAGATGCATAAATTAGAATATCTCACATCGTTTAATTACAAATATTTTTCTCTCGCAAAAAGGATGCAAAGCCAATGGTTTCGTTTCGAATAGTAAATCGTAATATGCAAACAATTCGAACGAAGCTGCTCGAAAAATGGAAAGTTGAAGTTACTATCAGGTGATCGATATCGGAGATCGTGATCTTTGACCCTACCTCGAGACCTCGCCGATCGATGTGCCTACAGTTATCCCAACTACCGGGTTATTACATAAATGTCCTAAACGTCATTTGGAGATCATTTAGACAGTGTTCATAACAGTTTCAAAATTACGTGACACGGATGAAAATCTGCAACCCCTAATTGCTCATGTATTTTTCATTTCGGACCCTCGCGTAAACTAACCACGGGTACTTCGTAACCAACGCAAGTAGGATGGAACGAGAAACGCGTACATTTCGATGGTCCACCGAAACAAGGAATAGTCAGGGAACGCGATGGTATGAAGTAAAGATTTAACACCCGCGCGAGATTAACCCTCGCGAGTCGCGATGGCAGAGGTCACAAATATACGAGCGAACCGTGTCACGGGTGTTCGTCGGTGAAATTGATCGCAGATGTGCAATTAGCGAGAGACATACACGAGAACGTGTAAAAAAGATTCAGCTATAGTTTCGTAGCACAGTTGGGAAAGCATGGGTTCAGGTTTCCCAGCCAATTTCGTCTGTCACTTCGCACGGCCACGAGGAATCGTCGATAATTGGAGCGATTAAAAACAGTCGCGGCACGAAATCTCGTTACGCCACGGTTTTCAGAGAATCCGATGCGCAGAAGACGCGACACAGCCGATGCGACATGAAAATGCGACAAATTTCAGTCAAAAATTCATGTACTTACGTTAACGCACACCAGAGACGAGAAAGGCCAGACCCCGTCCGGCTGAAGTCTAAGCCGCACTGAAGTCCCCGAGCATGTCGGCCAGCTCTTACTGGCACATGCGTTCGACCTCTGCAAAAATAGAGGTAAACGTGATTGGTGAACCAATCTTGGTCTGCTCGTATCACGAGGCGCGCTTTTACACAGTCAAAATATTGCCATCTAGTGGTTCTCGGGTGTAAAATGTTGTTGTCTACGCGGAATTATACGGCGCAGTGCAGACGTCCCGTGCTCTATGCAACTTTTGGTGTCCGGATCTGAATTACCGACGGTATCGGAAATAGCGCCGCCGTATTTGAGTACAGATGCGGTATAGAGTACAGGGTGAGTCACGTAACTTGCGCGCCTCAAATAATTTTCTCACACAGACTAAGGAAACGTATATAGACGTTGCATATTATGTTCTTTTCTATCTTCGAATAAATTTCAATCCTAAGTACAGTGGTGCGAATAATTATAAAGGATGCAATTAGGTATGGATCATCGACGAACTTTAGTTCTAGGATCTAGAATCGATTAGTATAGTACTATTTGAATATACACTATTAGAGTATACAAATGTTCGAAATTACGTAAAAGTTCACATGTGAATGTGTGTTTTTTGTATGAGACTGTTATATTGTAAACTCGGTCTAAATGCAGAGATGAGTGAATAAGAATGAATGTATTGAAGCAATGCATATATAGTAGAATCATATAGAGTGGTGTGCATAATTATAGACTCAAAGAATCTTTTGCATTGTTAATGATAAACGAATGATAAACGAAAATTTAACAAAATATCGTATTTGTACATTTGTATATTAGAAACAATAGAAAATATAAATATACAAACACGATATTTTGTTAGGTTTTCGTTTAGATATCAGTAACAATGTAAAAGTTAGTTTAAATCTATGATTATGCACACCACTGTATAGTGAAGTCTCGATTATCCGAGATAATGTGGATCGGGACTAGGTCGGATAACTGAAAGCTCGGATAATACCGGAGAATCAATGAATATTTACAAATCGTGCAAAAAGAAAGAACATTTTGATGATCTAATATTGTAGATATGTTTAATTACAATTACATAATTATACAATTACATAATTGTACAATTAAGTGAATGTTTATTGAACTTCTGAAGAAAATGACGTAATAGATTTCTGCTTAGTTGCTGTATTTGAACCCACAATGCAGTGGTCTCAATACCACTTCTGTAACGTTCCCAGTATTACCGATAATTCACCATTTGAAACGTGTTAGCAAACACCGAATATCGTGTATACCTTATTTATACTACAAGTGCTACAGAAATGCAGTTTAATAACTTTATGAACATAAATACCTTATGTATATACTTGTTTACATTGTCTCTCTACAATTATTTCTATTAATTACAATATTATAAAAATGTACTAAAACAATCTTCTATTTCAATAATATCCCATTTTTACTTATCTTGCACTGTAAATCAATTTACATCGTTATTTCTTTAATCACTTTATTGCTGTCATGCATTTGGGATCTGGGCCTATAACCTATTGTAGATTA